CCCTTCTTTTGTTAGATTTTCTAGTGGTTTGTTGGTTTTAGTGACCTTTTCAAAGAACCAACTCCTGGCTTTGTTGATGGTTTCAATTATTTTTCTGTTTTCTATCGCATTTATTTCTGCCCTTATTTTTATAATTTCTTGGGGGTTTTTTTGGGGGGGAGGGTTTCTGATTTTCTTGCTATTCTTTTTCAATTTGCTGAAGATGTTGAGTTAGAGAGTCAATGGACATTTTATCCTGTCTTAATGTATTTGATTATTGCTATAATTTGACCTCTGATTACTGCTTTGGCTGTTTCCCAGAGGTTTTGGTATGTTTTCATTGTCATTTGTTTCAAGAAACTTTTTGATTTTGTGTTTGTATTTCTTCTAGTATCCAGTCGTGTTCAAGTTACGTGTTGTTCATCTTCCAAATATATAGAGGGTTTTTTTCTTCTTTATCCTCTTGTTATTAATTTCTCATTTTTAAGCATTGTGGTTTGGGAAGATGCTTTGTATTATTTCTTTGTTTTGTAAGTTATTGATGCTTGCTTTGTGTCCTAAAATATGATCTATTCTAGAGAATGCACATTGGAGAAGAAGATATACTGTGCATTTTTGGGTTACATTAGCCTATAAATATCTAGGAGATCAAGTTTGTTTATTGTGTGGTTGAAATCGTCAGTGTCTTTGTTGAGTTTCTTTCAGGAAGTTCTATCTTGTCTTAAGAGTGGCATATTGAAGTTTCTAACTACTATAGTAATTCTGTCTATTTCCTTTTATAGTTTTTTTAATATTAGTTTAATATATTTTGCAGGTCTTTCACTTGGTCCTTAGATATTTATTATTGTTATAGTGTTGTCTGTTTACTTTTTCAGGTTTTTAAAAAATATTAGTTTTATGTATTTTGCAGGTCTTACGTTTGGTGCATAGATATTTATTGCTGTTATGTCTTCTTGTTCTTTTGACCTGTACTTTATGATAGTTTTTGCAATGAAATCTATTTTATCCAAGATTAATATTGCTACTCCTGCTCTTTTCTGGTTGCCATTTTCTTAGTATATTTTTCCCCACTCTTTTATTTTTAGTCTTTCTTTATCTTCATTTTTCAGGTGTGTCTCTTGTAGACAACATTTTTATATATTTTGAGGGTTTTGATCCAATTTGCTACTGTCTCTCTCTTCTATGTTACATTTAAACCATTTGCATTCAGTGTGATTTTTTAGAGGGAAGTTTTCATTATTAAAATTTTGTTGAGTTCCTTTTGTTGTTGTTACTAGTTACTTTGGTCCATACTGCTTTCTGTGGCTTCTATGTAAGAAGGACATCTCTCAGTGTTTCCAACAATGCTGGTCTTGTTTTTGAAAGCTCTCTTAGGTTCTGTTTTTCTGAGTATATCTTGATCTCTCCTTCATATTTGATGGACAATTTTGCTGGGTACAGTATTCTTGGTTAACAATTGTGTTCTTTGAGTGTCTGATATATGTCATTCCATTTTCTTGCTTGGATGGTTTCTGCTGAGAAATCAGTACTCTCCTTATCTTTGGTTCTGGTAAATTTGACTGTTATGTCTTGGTGTTTTTCTTCTGTAGTCTATTCTGTATGGTGCTCTCTCAGGTTCTTGTATATAGTCTCTCATTCTTCATTATGCCTGGGAAATTTTCTTCTAGTAATTCTTCCACATTTTTTTCTCTGCCTCTTCTTGTTTCTTCCTGTTCTGAGATTCCGATGATGTGCATGTTATTTCTCTTGATGGTGTCCCACATTATTCTTAACTTTTCTTCTTTTTCCTTTCTTTTTGATTCTGCTTTTTGTTCTAGCAGATCAGAGGTAACAATTATATCTTATATTTCACTGGTTCTATGTTCCATCTCTCCAACCCTGTTCATGAGTCCCTCCATCATTTTGACAGCATCTGAAACATTGGTTCTCACATTTTGGATTGTGGTTTCTTATTTTCCCAGAGCCTCTAATGCCTCATTTGTTTTCTCTGCATTGTTTTGGATTTTTTTTTAAGCTCTTCCTGGTTTTAACTTACAGTGTCCTGTAATTCTTCAAGTTTGTCTTTCACCCATGGAAAATATTCAATCATTGTTCTTTTATATTCTGTGTCAGAAAGTTTCACCAGACTTTATGGCTTCAGGAAATCTATTGATACTGTGTCACTTTTTTTAGGGGGTGACATTTTTTTATTGTTTCTGAAGAGCTTGAGATGTAGCCTGCTTCCTACATGATATTGCTGTGGTAGAGGTTTTTCATGTCTGAGGTGATAGCAGATTCTTGATCTGAAGTCACTGGTCCAGAAGTGGGTGGGATAGCTACCTTTCCTGGGATTCTGTCTGCCTTCTGACACAAGGGAAGATCTGCTTCAGTTGGATGGAGAAAGGGCCTATGAAAGCAGGCTCCTCTGCCAAAAAACTGCCACAGCTAGGGTAACCCAAGATGCTCCGCACTAAATGCAGTTGATGGAGTGGATATGAGGACACACAAGTTGGAGCACAGAGAGCTGATTGGAAAACCAGGAAGCCTTGGTTTTCCGTTCAAGACTGAGCAGCAACTGTCTTGCTCCCTTCTGATCGAGCTTAAGGGGTTCCACATGATCCATCCAAACAGCTGTAACACACACACACACACACACACACACACACACACACACACACAAAGTACCTCACTCAAGTTCCAGCAGTGCTCAAAATGTGTGTCAGCTCCTGGCACAGGTGTCAGCATCAGGACCAGATTTCCTGGTGTAGGCCGAAAGCATTGGAACCAGAGTACCAGGCTCAGGCCAGTGGCATTGGGACTGGAGTTCTGGGTGGATGCCACCAGCATTGGGACCAGAGTTCTCAGTATAAATTTCAAACAAACGCTTTAAATTGATGTACTTTCTAGAGCATTTAAATTATTTATAAATTTGTGACTATTATGATAAATAAAGCATAAGCTTAGACTGTCTATCATGAAATCTAACATTACCCAGTTAAATAATCTAGATGAGTTAAGGCTACCTGATAGAGTGCTTGAGTCATCTATAAAAATGTAGCACACAGATATTATTAAATGTTAATTTTGAAAAATAATAAATAAGTATAATTCACTTTATTAAAATAAAATATTCTAAGACCTGAACTTAGAAGGTTCTTAGATCTTATTTTTAAGAGACAAAGTTGTTGTTTCCATGTGCCATCAAGTCCGCCACAATTCATAATGACCCTATGCATAATAGCCCTCAACACTGTTCTATCTCAAGTCAATCTCACTCTCTGACACACCTATCCTCATCACCCCAGTTACTGTGTAAGAGACAATAGTGACAGAATTTTTTTAATAGTATTATCACCTCATTCATAAATATGATGTTGTGAAAATAAATGTGTGAAATGGCTTTCCATTCTCCTCTTCCTATATCCCAACTCTTTTCTTTCTAGTTTGATAGGGTTAACTTTAATAATACTACTCGAGCAATTAAAAATTCCAAGTTTATTCATGTGTGTTCATGTGTATTGAGGTTTTCCTTTTGAAATAAATAAATTTTATGTTCATACCCAAAGCAGTCATTATCAGGAGTGAGAGAGAGAGTTGAGTACAATATCTGTATGGATGATAGCTAGTGTTCTCTCTAGCTCTAAAATTCTATTAGTATATGTGTGGTATATAGATCACTGGAAGTTCCATGAGCATCAATCATGCTTCATCATGCAGAAAATAAGAAAACCTTGCTACAAATTTGTTGCAGAATCTCAAACAATCACCCAAATTTTCCTTTGGTCTAATACTACCCCAAGAGACTTGGGAGAAAATGCTTGCAGCAGAAAAATTTTAAAGGCGGAAGTGTGACTGGGCCAGAATATGGGGGCACAAAATATAGCAGGGTTTGCAAATCCATGCTTTCTAGAGTCTTTCCCTCGCCTGTATATATCACTGCTGCAAATAAAAAGGGGACAATATTATTTTATCCACAGATATTATTTACCATACCACAACTCTTATAGTCAAACTTTGTATTATAAATGCAACTCTCCACACTATAGAATTGAGAAATCTAAACACAATGAAATTAAAATTAAATTCCTCTGTTACACCGGCCTCTTTTAAATTGTTCACCATCTACATATTCCTAGTGGCTACTGGAATGGACAATTTAGAAAAAGATAATTTCCTCTACTACAGAAATATTTCTTGTACCATGATGTTACAGAAAATGTAACAGATTTATAAAAAGGTTTAAGCTTTATCTCTTTTCAGTTGTGGATACCTTAAGTATACTGAAATATTTGAGGATATATTATTGAGGCATTAATTGTTGTAGAATCAGCTCTTCTCTTGAGATTTTTAGCTAATGCCTTCCAACACATTGTTTTATACTTTCTCTACAGCTTATTTTGGAAGCAGGAGTGGCATCCACTTCCTAAATAACATGCCTCTAGGAACTCTATGAACTTTGATAGATGTTGATAGTTATAGAGGGGCTTCAGGTATTTTTTTCATAGGGTCGCTATGAGTCATAGGCAATCAACAACAATTACTGGTTATTATGTAGCTAGTCATATCACCCAATCCTTCCTATTCTTGATACATTTTTTGGTTTTGCTTAATGGATATGTATGATGTCAATCTATTATCTTTATTTACTTCCATTCCTCACACAAATTAGAGAAAAATATTTAGCACTAAAGCTTGATATTGAAAGTAAAATAGCCATGTGGGTCTACAGAAGAAATAGACTTGAACCTGCTCCTAAAATTGGAAATTATGGTCTTGTGCAAAGTGGACAGTGGAAGGAAAATGAGTAACAATGAATGAATTTTTAAAAAGAAGGGGAAAACACACAAAGTACATGTACAAAACAATATATATGAATGACTATATGTAAACCAATAAAAAGTTTTGAAAAGAAGAAAGTTTCAGCTGATTCTTCTGAATTTAATTCTAATATTATATTTTAAAAAATAACAGTGTTAAACTGTACAATGAAGACAGTTATTTGTACACATCAATGTTGCTAATGTCTTTTTGGCATTCTCCAGACTCGTCTTCTGAGGAGGAAAGCCCTGTGACCAGGAGGAGGTCCCAATCATCACCCCCTTATTCTACTATTGATCAGAAGCTGTTGATTGATGTTCATGTAGGTTTCCATCTTAACATGTTTGTGTCTATTCTTTTTAATTTTCAATATTTATAAATTTCCAATTTTCAGCTTCACTGGAAGAAGGAAATATTATTTAAGTATTTTATCAATCCCTTTCAGACAGATTTCTATTGTTATGTTAACCAGTAGAATATGAAATAAAGACATTAAACTTGAAATGGGAAAACAATTGATAAGAAAGTATTGCATTTTTATACTCTTGCGTCAGTTAGAACATTTTTGAAACAAGAGTGACATAGAAATATTTGTCAAAATTAACCTCAATTTGTGAGGTAAAGATGAGATGTTCAATTTTTGTCTAACATGATTTCTTGGCAGATAAAGCAATGAACAAAAAAATAAAACCACTTAGTGAAAAATAAATGACATCTGAATGCATAAATAAAAAAAGATTCTCCAACTTCTTTTACACTTGTATCTTCAGATGAATTTATTTTTCATTTGGAAAGGCACTTGGTTTGAATCCAGCAGCTGATCTGTGGGAGAATCATGGACAGTCTCTTCCCCTGAAATGTAATGCCTCTGAAATTCCACTGGAGGGTGGGTTGGATCCATCTCGAAGGCACACAGCAACATCAACCCCCACCATATTGACACAATGACTATAAAGGTGGGCTTGAATACATCAGATATGGTCACGATGGTACAAGATAAGGGAGGGTTGAGACTTATTGTTCATAAGATCACTATGAGTCATAGTCAACAGCACCTAACAGCAACAGTGACCACATTTGTTGCTATATGCTCTTGAGTTGTCATAATGACTCTATGTACAACAGCTCTGAAGTTTGCCCTGTCCTGACACCTATCCCCATTGCCACTGTTAATGTATCAATCCATCTTCTCCAGGATCTTCTTCTCCTGCACTGTCCCTCCATTCTCCCAAGAATGATGTCCCTCTTCAAGAACCTGTCCCTCCTGGCGATATTCCCAAACTATGTGAGACAGAGTTTCAAAATCTTGGCTTCCAAAAAAGAAACTTGGTTTCACCCTTTGCAACACAGACCTATTTAACTACTTGGCAGTCCATGGTATATTCAGTACTCTTCTCCAGCACCACAGCTCAAAGGCATCAATTCTCCTTCTGTCGTCCCTAGTCATTGACCACCTCTCTGATGCATAGCACATAATTGGGAAGACCATGGCCTGCATCAGGTACACCTTAGTCTCTAGACTGACATCATTGCTTCTCAGTACTCTGTAGAGGTCCCTGATAGCAGATGTTCCCAGTGAAATTTTTCTTTTGATTTCCTGACTACTGGTGCCAAGAGTGTTGATTGTGGAGCCAAGCAAGCTATAATTGTTAACAACCTCAATCTCTTTTCCATCTACCATGGTGCTGCCAAGCAGCCAAACTATACACTCCTTTCAGACTGCCTAAAGGTAATATGTAACCCAAGGTCAAATCGAAACAGTTACTAGGAAGTTGACTACAACTCATGGAAACCATATATATATA